CAAGTAACAAGAAAGCTATATACACTACACACTGTCTGGGCGGACAATTCTTCATAAAGGAGAAAAGGCTGTTTGTGGCCTCTTCGTCCTCTTGCTCAGCTGCTGCCCCTGTTGGATACAGGATTGATGTTTTGTGTTTTTTCAGCTTAGTTTCAGTTGCAGAGAATATGTTGCAACACTTCCTTCACACTTGCAGATGGGACTTGATGCGGACTATTGCGTCTAGACAGCTCACTCCCATGCAGTTCCTCTGTTTGGTTTTGGTAGAGCTGACGAAGGAAAAAATTCTCTCAATCAGTCACTGCATTGCTGGAGGGAATGGCATGAAACCCAGTCGTCTTCTTAACACCTTCCCAAAATGGAATGCTTTCCCTTGGTATGTCGCTGTCCCTGAACACTGCTTTGTTCGACTAATCCATAAGATGTATTCGCCTGTACTGTTCTTTCACCCATTTCACCCCATCTTGATCCACCAAAAACAAAAAGGGCAAGTCCTGAAACTTTGGCTTTTGAAGCTGGTTGTGAGCACAATGGAGGGGCTTAGTAGGGACACTCCACAGAAAACATTCTTTGTTTCAGACAGTCTCTTGTCCACTTAAACTATTGTCACTTCAATCGTTTTCTTGCACCTCTGCTTCATTTCATGGATGCGCTTCGTCGCTACTGCACCCACTGGGTTGTTACCCGATGCGCCTGCAGCATCCAGGTATTTCTGGCATTCTGTCAGAAATTTAAACCCGTAGTCCACCTCTTCAGCTGACTTCACAGTCCCATCTGCTTTATACAATCTTGAGTGTAAACTTCTGTAGTGTATGTCCAGTTCATGCATCAGCTCATTTGGGTCCCCATGCTTTGCTTGGAATTTGCTATTCACCCTTTTTCAAATTCCTGCACGAGTGGTGTCGCAAACTGAAAAACGATGTAGTTGGGCATATCATTTAGCATTTCCCTCAGCAAGCGGGCTTTGTATCGAACATCAGGTTGCATACTTTGCTTTACTACACTGAAGTATGCTGCCAGCTCAAATCAATTTTCCAAAAATGTTCTGCATAACTTTGCCTCTAACTAACCTGTCCCCACAGTTTTATGCAAAATTAATTCTGAAATTATGCAAACTGAGCCGAAAAATGTAAAATTATGCGATTCTGTTAATTTTTTTACAAAGAATGATACAGGCAAATAATAAGAAATTATGCAAAAAATAATAAAATTTTGCAAAATTATGCGGGGTGCATAAACCACGGGGACAGACTAACCTTCTGGTTGCAGATGTCTTTTGAAACGGAGTGGGTACACTTGTGCCGCTTTCAAGTCCGGTGTCTGTGTTCATAACGTTGAACAAGGACATGAACTGGTCTCTTCTTAAACTCGATTTCTTAAACCATGATGGGATTTCTGTGAGAAGATGACCCTAGACAG